CGCCTATCCCGTACCTCCCATAATCACACAGCCGACCCCGATTACACCTGCCCACATTTTGCCCACATCCAATATGGCCGCCACCTCCTCACTTAACCCGAGCGCAACTTCCTTCCACGCCTCCAATATGGCATCCCCCAGTAACATAGCCCCTCTTATGCCCGTTCTTCCGAATGATCTGCTACCTCCAACCCATAGCTCACCAGCAGCCCCGGCTGGTGGAGTGCCACTTCTACCCCCGGCCCTGTCACCACAGGTAGTTCCCTCCCCGGGAGTCAGGATAGCACATGCAGATGAATTTGACACGGTAAGCTCCCATGGTTACCAGTCCCCACCAGACTCCAGGGAGGTTTCGCCCCAACCTCCGCGACGTTCTCTTAATGATCCCTTTGGTCGCAAGGTTCAGGGGGACAAAGCCCCGGTAATGTATGTTACCTTTAACCCAACACAGGCCAGTGCCCTGATGAAGTCACTTCCTGACCCAGAAAAACAACCTATGCCCTTTTACAGAGCAGTGGTCCAGATTCAACAGACCTATTCCGCCGCATGGCGTGATTTGCTGAGCCTCTGTGCCATTAAGGCTGGAGATGCCTACTGGCCTAGCATTGCTCGCCACCTATGCACTAATTGGTTGTCAAGTGATACTGATTATATGTCCGGAATTGAGTTTTGTGATCAGCTAAAAACTTGGGCCAAAGATAAACTTGCTGATCAGGCAGCCGGACTTAATGATATTGTCCAGGAAAAAGGTGAATCCGTAGAGAGGTTTCACGCTAGACTCTTTCAAGTATTCTCTGACCTAGGGTTTGAACTTAGCAATAAAATACATGCCCAAATGCTTTCTGGTGCCTTTGTACAGGGCATCAAAGACTCTATACGGAAAGGTATTATTGCTGCCCGCCCTGAGTATAGAGTGGTTTCCCTTGATAAGCTGCATTTAGTTGCCAGAGGTTTGGATGCAGCACAGGTGCCAAGAAGATCCAATCCCACCCCCCTTATGGTATCACGCCCGCCGATTCCCAGAGGCACTAGGCCTGAGGATGGAATTTGCTTTAATTGTGGGCTGAAAGGCCATTTTAGAAGTGACTGCCCTGAACCCATAAAACACCGGAGGCCATACGCTGGCAAACAAACTTCCAAGCCCGCCACTACTACGAAGGCCCCAGAAACCCCTTCACCTGATTCAGCTCAAGAAGACTAGGACACCGGCAAGCCTGTGTCATTAACCCCTGTTATGGCAGTGTCTTCAGGGGAACAAGGGGGGCCTCTAGCTACTGTAATTTTACCCATTGAGGGCCAGCCCACCACTTTCCTAGTTGACACAGGTGCAGCCCGAAGTGTTCTGAGAGAACAAGACCTGCCCGATACCTCATTTCTTTCCAATATTGATGTCTCCTGTGTTGGGGTGGACGGCCTTCCAAGGCAAGGTCCCCTGTCCACCCCACTGCGGGTTGGTAACTGCCACAACTTGCTTGCTCGCTTTGTGGTATCTTCCACATGCCCCATTAACCTGTTAGGAGCTGATGTTCTTTCACGCCTGCAGGCATCTATCAACTTTACTCCAGATGGACAAGTGGAACTATCCACCCCTCTATCTGTCTCAGACACCTCAGCTTTGTGCTCCTTACCCCTGATGCTACATCTAGAAGAGCCTCATGGGGATGCAAGAGACCTAAGGACTAATTTCCCTGATTCACTAAAGACTGATGTTCCCAAGAAACTGTGGTCCACAGGCCCAGAGGACATAGGCCATCTAAAGGTCCCACCTGTGGTGGTAAAGCTCATCCCAAGAGCAAAATTGCCACGAAAATCACAGTATCCTTTGAAACCAGCTCAAGCTGCAGCCATTACAATTCAAATTCAAGCACTCCTGGAGAAGGGTGCTCTTGTCAAATGTGAATCACCATGCAATACTCCATTATTTCCGATAAAGAAAAAGACTCCAAAAGGCGAACCTGAAAAGTACAGATTGGTCCAAGACCTCAGAGCGGTAAATGAAGCCACAGTTTTGGACACTCCAATAGTGCCCAACCCACACACTCTCCTTTCCGGCGTTCCACCCTCTGCCAAGTACTTCACAGTCATTGATCTGGCCAATGCCTTCTTCAGTGTTCCCCTGGATCCAACTTGCCAATATCTGTTTGCTTTCACACATGAAAAACAACAGTACACATGGACTGTCATGCCCCAAGGGGCACAAAATTCGCCAAGTCAATTTGCGAAGGCCATGTGCTCTATCCTTGATCCATGGGAATCTGACCATCCTGAGGTCGTCCTGCTTCAATATGGGGATGATTTGCTGCTTTGTGGAGATGATCTACCCACAACAGAACAATGCTCACTTAATCTTCTTTGCTACCTGTAACGGACCGTTTTGCACACAAGGGGTAAAAACCGTTTAGGCGATCGGCCTCCTTTCCAGAGATACAGGCACAGCTACTGCAGAACACCAGACTCCCGAACTGGATACAAAATAGCACTCCAACTCCTGAACTGGAACCTCCCGAATAGCTGCTAGCAGACGAACAGGAAAAGCAGACAATCAGCTTACACTCCTGGCAATCAGTCTCTAACAGCATACAGTGAATCCCCCCAAAGACGAGACAAGGCTCCGTGTTGAGGGTCAAGCAGTGGTCTGTTTAATGAGGGCTACCTGCCCGGCTTTTATGCAGGTCTCCCACCTGGTGGACACTCCCCTAGGGGACCAAATGGGAGACTGTGACAAGGGACAGACAAGTATACAAATGGGACACACAGTCACAGTATATTCCCACAATGCATCCTGGCTTCCTCCCCTCTGCCCTGGGAGATAATTGGGAAGTAACTCAATTATCTCCCAAGACAAAGGCAAAACTCCATTACACACGTGGGAACACAAAACCAGCATAATACTTTAAAATGCACAATGTAACATTTACTACATAAAACACAGACATGTAACATATCCCCAGATAGCTCAGGTCTGAGTGCACATTATTAGGTGAATGGCACTCAGACCACACGAATACAGTTCAATCGCCATGGAGCCAAAGTCTTTACAGTCAGTTTCATACGAATGGGCTCCATGGGATTCCTATCTGGGGTATAAGACATTCACACAAAAATACCGGACACCGGGTCATTCGTGTGCTTTCACCGAACAAGAAGGGAGGTCGGCGGCTTCAGCGGTGTTCGCGCAAAACTGTGTCCGATTTTAGTTCCATGAAAATAGAGGCGAACACCGCTGTTCATTCGTATGGTTTAAAATGGCAGCGACCTCGTGTTCGGGATACGAACGGCGGCCACCCAGCGTTCATCAATTAAGCTGCGGTTAACCGCAGCTTCAGGGAGGTTAATTGCCGGCACACTCCAGCTCCCAGGTGGTCCAGTCATTCGTACGGATGTTCGGTAGTTTGAAACTACCGAACAACCGGCAGAAAAGCACGAATACAGCTTTTCTGCATGGAAAAATAAAGTCTTTTAAAAGGGGCCATAGTCCAAAGGCAGCAGGCGAGCAACCAGGCTTCTCCAATGCAATGTGGCGAGATTGGTCTCGTCACATCTCTCCCCTTTCCCAAACAGACTAACAGGGTATCTGACCTCCTGCCGGTCAGTGCCCTTGTTAGTCCAGCAGCCCACCCACAAAACATAATCAACAGCACAGCCCACCCACAATAAATAGTTACTACACCTGGGTAAAGGAGAAGCTTGTCCATGTCCAGGTGCCTCACCACGGCTGTGCTGGGTACGTGTACGCTGACTTGGTGGGTTGCTGCGTGGGCAGAGACCAGCGGCACTCTGCCCTGTTGCCAGCGCTACTGGGAGGGTAGCCTGGTGGAAGCCTGGTTGTTGGAGGGGGAGACCGACTGTCTCCCCTTTAAATACACTGCTCTGCTGCTGCTGCTGGAGACTGACTGACTTTAGATGCACGGTCCTGCTGCTGGAGACCGACCGTCTCCCCTTTGGTTACCCATCTCTGCTTCTGGAGGGGGAGACCGACTGTCTCCCCTTTGGCTAAACAGCCCTGTCGCTGGGGGGCAGGACCGACCGTCCCTACCCCTTGTGCTGGCAGTGTAGAGACTACGGTCCCATCTGCGCAGTTGTGGGGCTTACTGTCTCCCCCTGGTACATTAAGCTGCCGCTGGGGAGAGGGGATAACAGGCTCCTCTCCCATACATACTTCCAGCTGTGGGGGAGGGAGACCGACTGTCTCTGCTCCCAATACAGAGTCCTGCTGCTGGGGAAAGGAGACTGGGCTCTCT